TAATATAATATAATATAATATAATATAATATAATATAATAATATAATATAATATAATATAATATAATATAATATAATATAATAATATAATAAATATAATATAATATAATATAATATAATATAATATAATAATATAATATAATATAATATAATATAATATAATATAATATAATATAATATAATATAATAATATAATATAATATAATATAATATAATATAATATAATATAATATAATATAATAAATATAATATAATAATATAATATAATATAATATAATAATATAATATAATATAATATAATATAATATAATATAATATAATAAATATAATATAATATAATATAATATAATATAATATAATATAATATAATATAATATAATATAATATAATATAATATAATATAATATAATATAATATAATATAATAGTACCAAAATCAAAAATAGTCATGTAATAGAAGAGTTGTCTGTGTGAATCCTGTGTGAATCCTTTAAACTGACAAACAGCTGTGAAATAAGAGCATTGGGTTTTACAAAATTTTGCTGGCTGTTCATAATAGTTGTTTTTTTCATTTGGCAACATCCCACTGGGCATGAACTTTATGTAGTAGATCTGGAGTTCCTATTTTTTCTTTTTTTGCAAATAATCTTACATGTGCAATCTGAAACATAGCCTGAGATTAAACAGCATTTAAAATATCAAAGAATGATTTAATGGTATGTTTTAAGTGGTGTGCAGGCAGTCAAGTGGGAAAAGTTCACTTTCAAGTTATTTGGAGCACAGAAATGTTCTACGGAATATAGTTTAAGAGTTCCTTGAATTCCCCATCTATATTGGATGAGTATTTTGAGAACTGCAGCCTCAAAATATCTGGAAGGCACCACATTTGGAAAAAAAATACCAGAGTCAAAATATCCCCCGTTTTTCTAGCCAGGATTGCAAACAACTTGCATGCAATTTTCAAATACTTGACAACTTTAAATGCACAAATGAGAAGCAGCCTCAAAAGCATGGAGCAAGAATCAAACAATTATTCATGCAATCTACACTTTTGCACAAGCCTCATCAAAGTGTAAGTCATATGTTGCATATTAGGTGCAAAGGCTAGGTTTCTATGCTCTGGCCAGTAAGTGTTGGTAACTGGGATTAATTACATACCATCAGTTACTCTGAATAGTAACAACAGACATCACCCTGTCAACAAAACTACGTATAGTCAAGGCCATGGTTTTCCCAGTTGCAATGTATGGCTGCGAAAGTTGGACCATAAGAAAGGCTGAGTGCCAAAGAATTGAGGCCGTTGAACTATGGTGCTGGAGAAGACTCCTGCGAGTCCCCTGGACTGCAAGGCGATCAAACCGGTCAGTCCTAGAGGAGATCAACCCTGACTGCTCTTTAGAAGGCCAGATCCTGAAGTTGAAACTCAAGTACTTTGGCCACCTAATGAGAAGGAAGGACTCATTGGAGAAGAGCCTAATGCTGGGAAAGATTGAGGGCAATAGAAGAAGGGGACGACAGAGAATGAGGGGCTGGATGGAGTCACTGAAGCAGTAAGCGTGAGCTTAAATGGACTCCAGAAGATGGTAGAGGACAGGAAGGCCTGGAGGAACGTTGTCCATGGGGTCGCGATGGGTCGGACACGACTTCGCAACTAACAACAAGAATACTGGGAAAGATTGAGGGCAATAGAAGAAAGGGAGTTCTAACTGAATATTGTCAGATAAGATGCATTTTATAGATTGTTATACTTACAATTAAATTAACAACAGCCAAGATAAAAAGGAGGACCAGCACACAAATCGCCAAGTTGCCTTTTCTGCCTCGCAAGCCAGTTTTGTGTAGACGGCCTTCATCAATCGGTATGTATCCCGCCTTGAAGTTACTGTTATGCTCTTTGTTAATATTTCTGCGTTCCACGGCTTTTTCTCGCATCGATTTCTTCACGGGGCCATTTGAGCTTTGCTAAAATTTCAGCCAAACACATCAGATGGAAACCGGATTAGACAATATTTCATTTCTGCCGTAATATGATGATCGTAAAAAGAACAGCTCACTAATACTTAAAAACGTTTAAAAACGATCAGAAAGCATCTACACACAGAGTATATCATTTATTTTATTTACAAAATGATTACATTCTGGAGAACAGGCGCAGAAGTTGAAAAATACTTCAGTGGTCATTACGGAATAGGTAGTCCTTGAATGACAACCATAATTTTCAGTTAAGTCATAAAATAGATCACCACATCATCGGACCTCATTTTATAACCATTTTTTTCAGTGATCATAAAGCGATCGTCATGATTCTTAAACGAACACCAGAACCCATTGTTTGCCATAGGGCAGTTTTTATTAAAAAAAAAACATTTCTGGCAAAACTGTCCTAAATACAGTCACATGACCATGGGGGAAGGGCAATGTCAGGATTTTGAAACTGGATCATAAGTAGCTTTGGGGGGGGGTCAGTCATAAATTCAAATGGTTGCTAAGTGCCCAGTCATTAGTCAAGGACTCTCTGTACTTTCCTGCTGGGATATATATACAGTCAGGTTCATATATATTGGGATACTCTTTTTTTGCATTTGGCCTCTGTACACCACCACGTTGAATTTGAAATGAAACACTCAAGACGTGAACAAAATTAAGACTTTCAGCTTTAATTCAAGGGATTTGACAAAAGTGTTGCACTACCCATTGAGGAATTACAGCCATTTTAATTACACCCATCCCGAGTTTTGGGGGCTCATAAAAGATGGGACAAACTAACAGAATTATGGATATAAGGATTGTTTTTAATACTTGGATAAGTCCAACCAACACTAAAAGTCCAGTAGGAGACCCTTACAGAATCATAGAATAACAGGGTTGGAAGGGATCTTGGTGGTCAATCTAGCCCAGCCCCCCGCTCAAGCAGGAGACCCTTACAGAATCATAGAATTAGAGTTGGAAGGGACCTCAGAGGTCATCTAGTCCAACCCGCTATTCCATCAGGAGACAGAATAACAGGGTTGGAAGGGACCTTGGTGGTCATCTAGTCCAACTCCCTGCTCCAGTAGGAGACCCTTACAGAATGACAGAATAACAGGGTTGGAAGGGATCTTGGTGGTCATCTAGTCCAGCCCCCCGCTCAAGCAGGAGACCCTTACAGAATCATAGAATTAGAGAGTTGGAAGGGACCTCGGAGGTCATCTAGTCCAACCCCGTTCAAACAGGAGACCCAGAACCACATACACACACAATCAATACTCTAGGCTCCAAAATCTTCCCAAATGTTGAGGCTGGCCAAAAAACGTATCATTGTCTCAATATATCTGAACCTGACTGTATATTTTCCTCTTCTCCCCAAAGAAAATGAAAAAGAATCAAGTCATTTCTCCTCAATATCTATCTTATAACTAGATTGTGCCTATAAATCGGCTAGCTAGACTAACAACTCGCCAAATATTTAACCATGCTAACCATGCTGGACATCCTTAAAATAAATGGAACATGAACTTCTAAATTTAGGATTAGCTTGAAAGAAGGACAGATGTATGTTATAGTATTAATTCCATTTAAAAAAAGGCCCACTGGCCAAGAAATAAGCAGACTTGAAAATACTGTATAGGTAGTCCTCAACTTACGGCTACAATTGAGCCCAAAATTTCTACTGCTAAGCCAGACATTTAAGTTAATTTTAGCCCATTTTTACAACCTTTGTCTCCATTGTTAAGTAAATCACTGCAAGTTGTTTAGATAAGTGAATCTGGCTTCCCTCACTGCATGTCAGAAGGTCACAAAAGGTGACCCCAGGACCCCAGGACCCTGCAACCCGACATAAACACGAACCAGTTGCCGAGCATCTGAATTTTCATCGTGTGTGCATGGGGAGGCTGCAACGGTCTTAAGTGTGAAAAATGGTCCTCAGTCACTTTCTTCAGTGCCTCTGTAACTTCAAACGGTCACTAAATGAACTGTCGTAAATCGAGGACTACCTGTAATTTATACTGAATCAACATGGGGTGCACAGACAGACTCCTCAAAGTAAAATCCTTAAAAAAAAATTGTACCTATATGACACCAGTAAGACTATCGAAAATGTTTAAAAACGCTTCGAACAATTGTTGGAAATGTAAACAAAAGCCAGGTACCTATTACCATATCTGGTGGGTATGCCCTAGAACGAAGAAATTCTGGCTTAAGATTTATACATGGTTGGACAAGATGACTAAAATACAGATAGAATTTAAACCAGAATTGTTTTTGTTAGGAATACTAGGAGCCAAGTATGAGAAGGAGAAGGAGTATTTAATATTGCATATATTGACAGCAGCAAGAATAGCATTTGCCCAACACTGGAAAAATGAAAATTTACCAACTGAAGAGATCCTAATTAAGAAAATTTTAGAATGTGCTGAAATGGATAGATTAACTTTAGAGATTAAAGAGAAAGAGGATTCAGTTTACTTCCAAAACACGGGATAATTTTTACCAATGGTTAGCAAAACGAACTAGTGAGAAATGAATGTGATATGTTATGGGTGGAAACTGATCAAGGAGAGAAGCAACTTAGAACTAAGGAGAAACTTCCTGACAGTTAGAACAATTAACCAATGGAACAACCTGCCTCCAGAAGTGGTGAATGCTCCAACACTGGAAGTTTTTAAGAAGAGACTGGACAGCCATTTGTCTGAAATGGTGTAGGGATCCTGCCTGGGCAGGGGGTTGGACTCGATGACCTCCAAGGTCCCTTCCAACTTTATTATTATTATTATTATTATTATTATTATTATTATTATTATTATTATTATTATTATTATTGTTGTTGTTGTTGTTGTTGTTGTTGTTGTTGTTGTTGTTGTTGTTTTGTTGTTATTGTTATTGTTACTGTGAATATATACTAGTAAGATGAAGGATACATATTGACTAATTGACACTATGATTATCGTTTCTCATATTTATTATAACTATTGACTATTATATTAATTAGTGTTATTCAATATGTGTACCCGGACAATAGTCTGTTTGCTAAAGCTTGAAAATGTTAATGGGGGGGGGGGGGTAACCCCATTGTTCCCATCCCTGTCCCAATCCCAATCCTGATCCCCAACCCCGAACCTTAACTCCTATACTGACCCCATCCCTCCCCTAACCTCATAAAACTCAATAAAACTTTATTTAAAAAAATCGTAACCTTCAACCATAAATATTATTATTATTTTTTAATGTAGTGACAAGGAAATCTTCACACACACACACAGACAATGCCTTTAAAAGGGAGCGTTATTCTAGGTCGGCCTTCTCGTTTTTTTGCCAAGCTCGTCGGCCCTTTCCGTCCTCCCCAATCCCCGCGCGGCGCTCCGTTTGGGCCGCCCCGGGTTTTTCCCCCCACATCTCCTCCAGCCTCCGCGTCCTTGTTCCAGGCAGCCCAGGAGCAACAAGCCCCGGTCGCGACCCGCCGGGCGCCGGCGAGAGGCTGCCCCTCGTCAGCGGTCTATTTTTGCTTTGCGCGGGGGGCCGGGCGCGCGCTTACTTGGGCAGGAATCTCCCTCTGGGACGCGGCTCCGGGCGTGGTTCTCCAGAGCAAGGGAGCCGCCAGCCAGCCAGCGTGCAAATCCCCCCAACCGCATGCTTTATTTCATTTCATTTTATTTTATTTTATTTGGGGGGAGGGGAAGAGGGATTTTAAGGATTCCTTCCGAAAGCGCAAATATAACGGGCGAGGAGGCGAGGACTGTCTCCAAAAAAAAGAGAGAGGCGCTTGGCTATGGCGCCGCCGAGGCGAGCTTTTCTCGCCCCTCCGGCCGCCGACGGGCTCGGTCGGACGGCTCCCAGCCGCCCTTCTCCAGCTGCTGCGAGACCCGGGGAGAGCTCGGACCCGCCGCTTAGTCCCAAGGGAGGGAGGGGGGCGGACGGAAGACTAGCCCCAGCCACGGCCACCTCTGCTTTGCGCCAGGTTGCCAAAGCGCCGCCGCGCCCTTCTTTTCCCGCGGCGGCTTCCCGAATTCCCTCCTTCCCCCGTTGCCTACCGACCTGCTCGGAAGCCGCCGCTGCCGCCGCCGCTGCAGAGGCTGGAAGAACCGCCATCTTCGGCTTGTTGTCCTTCCTTGGCCCGCAGGGGGAGCGAGGCTGGGCGGCGGAGGCGCTTTACGAAAAGCTGACGCGGAATCCTTCCCCCCGCCCCGGTGCGCGCTTTCTGGTGGGAAGCGGAGGTCGAGGAGAGGCCGGCCCCGCCGTTGGATCTCCGAGAGAAGACCCAGGAGAAAAGCAGCGCGGGCCGAAGAGAGGGAGAGAACGTAGAATAATAAGAGTGGGAAGGGACCTTGGAGGTCATCTAGCCCAGGGCTTTTCAACCTGTTCACTCATGGTACCACTTTTAGGATATGGCAACGTCCGAGTACCACCAGTCGCCTAGCAAGGTGTCAAAAACTTGATGACCAAAAAAAAAAAAAAA